TATTGGAAAAACAAATAAGAAATGCAAACAAAGGAAAAAGGGGAGGAATCAATTAAAATAGCGGCCAAGTTGATGATACATCGAAGTTTATTACTAGTACTAGTACTTTTGTTTTAATTTATGCGATGAATAATGATGATTTTTCATTGTATAAAATATTAAAAATTAAGTTTTATAATAAATTATTATTAAATATAATATTATATACATTGAGACATAAAAATTAATTATATAGTTATGAATGTAGACTATTTTCGACGATAATATACATCTCCGAGTACAACATTTATAATTCCCCTCATTAACGCATTTGATCGATCCACTCTCTCGTCATTATCAGCCTTCATGTTCTCCATGTTTATTTATTGGTTGAATCCATCGGTAGCCTCTTAAAGTTGGCACCAACTTTTACTTAAACACCTTATCTAAGTTTTGTTCATTTTAGACAACTCATGTCATGGTCCATTGTGACATTTTGACACTTTTTTAATTATCAGTCAAATATATAAAGTGTTTATAATACACTTATCGATGACGTGTCAAAATGACGAATTAAATAAAGACACGTGACATATATATATAAAATAATTCTCAAATAGTGATTTTTAGTACAAAAAAAAGTGACCAATGAGTGAATGACGCGTGGAATTTTTGCCCAAAAGATTTTAAACATAAAAATAGCAAACCCCACCCACCCCGACCCCTGCGTTTTCTCCACTCTTCCCCCACCCACCTCTACCCACCCTAACCACAACCCCTTCCCCACCAACATCATCTCCTCGAATAGAATAACAAACCCACAAATACCACTACTCAAATCTAATTTGAGATTATTCATGAATTCATGACTTTGCATTTTTCTTCTTCTTTACAATTCTTCACATTGTCTTCTTTTAATTTTTATTATATCATTATATTATAAGTCCATGGGTTCAAATTCATTTTTTTTGTCCGTAGCATTATCATATTTATTTCTCCATAAAAGGAGTTTAAGTTTTGGGAGATGATGGCTGAAAAATGAGGAAGAAGATGAAAAAATAAAAATAAAAAACAATTAAATAAGCCTTTCACGCGCTGGGAATGAGTGTATTACATTCTCTACGACATATCAGCAAAAAGTGTCAAAATGACATAGCGGGATATGACATAAGGTGTCTAAAATGAACAAAGTTGAGTTGAGGTGTCTAAGTGAAAATTAGTGTCAACTTAAGGGGGCCACCGATGGGTTTTCCCTTATTTATTAAAAGGCCAAACACATACACAACCCCTTTAACTTGTCCTCATTGTTCATTTTGACACTGCATTATGTATCATTTTAATACGAATTACTATATTTATGATTTTATTTATTTTTATATATGTTATTCAATTGTAGTTTCTTATTTTCAAAAAACGACATGTGTTAGTTGATTTTAGTAAAAAAAAAATTAAAAAATTAGCGAACAAACATTAATTCTTTTTTAAAAATAATAATTTATTTTAAAGATTTTTTCTATATTTTTTGTGTGAAAAATAACTGACGAAATTGTGTTGGTTTTCTTTCTTAAAAAATCATTGATATCCCGAAAAGTCAGTCGAGTTGTAACATTTTTTAGTAGTGTTATTAGCAATGAAGAAGAGTCTCTTTTTTCACTCGTATTAAAATTGCATTTTTTTAAATTCATATTGAGTCATATTAAAAATTAAAAGCGAGTATTTGTGTTAAATTCAGATAGCCTAAACGATAAGAAAAATAAACAAATATGTAGTGTTATTTAATTTGATGGAATGTTTAAGAAAGAAAATTAAAGAACTTTCGTCGATTTATATTCATGCAAAAATACAGAGAAGATCACAAAAAATAATATTATTATTTCAAAAAATTGTGTTCGTTGAATGTTTAAGAAAGAAAATTAAAGAACTTTCGTCGATTTATATTCATGCAAAAATACAGAGAAGATCACAAAAAATAATATTATTATTTCAAAAAATTGTGTTCGTTCGCTAATTTTTTATTTTTTTTAAATGAAAATTAATAGCCACCCTTAATTTTTAAAAAATAAGAACTGTAATTGAAGAAAATAATTAAAAATAAAGAAATCATAAAAACTAGTATTTGTGTTTAAATGGTACATAAAAAAATGAGTTTAAGGGTTAAAATAGAACAACTCTAAGTTGAAGTGCCAAAATGAAAAAAATGAAGGCAAGTTAAAGGGGTTGTGTATATGTTTGGCCTTATTTTTTTTATAAAAAAAATAACTTCTATTTTTATTTATTTTGTGTCTCATATATATATAAAAACTTGTCATTTTCTATGCATTAGTCAAAACTTTAGAGTCTGTTTGGTATTAATGTTAAAAATTCCTTATTTTAAAAGTATTTTTTTAAAAATAGCTTTTTAGAAGAATGTTTTTTTTCTTAAAAAAATAATAATTTGTGTTTGACAAATTAATTTGAAAAGTGCTTTTGATAAGCAATTTGTGTTTGGCTAATTGTTTTAAAAAACGCTTTTGAGAGTCAAATTACGAAAAATGGCAAGTATCAATGTGCTTTTAATATTATGATAATTTTATAGAGAGAAATCATTTTAAACATCTAATACAAAAACTTTAAATTACATTTTTAATTTAATTAATTAAATGTACATATTCAAATTTTCATTCAATATTATGCATATATAAAAATTGTTGAAAAATATTGAAAAGAAGATTCTTTTTGTTATTTGTTACCTATTCTCTTGAATTCAATCTTAGCTATTATCCTTTTGTTCTTGTTATAATACTCTGAAGTTTTAAAAAATTCAATCTAAAAAAAAATAATACATAAATTAAGAAAATAAAAAAAATTGTTGTTTATTACTTTTTTGGGATGGTCTGTAAATCTTTAATTGTTACTTTTTCTCTCTCTTTTTTTTTTAAATTTTACAAAAATATTGTTGTTACTTTTATTTTTAATTCTATAAAATAATACGTAAAATTATATCTACAATATAAAATATAAATAATAATATAAAAACATAAACAAAATTAATTTTTATTATATAGAAATAAAAAATAAAATTCTTGAATGAAAATTAACAAAACTTATAAGATATGTTAATTAATTAATTAATAAGGGATATATTGATAAATATGAATATATGTAAGTGATATTTTAGTCTTCAAAATAATAATTTTTTGTTTCTGCTTCTGCTTTTGTTAAAAACTATTTTTTTTTAGCTTCTATGATTCTACCCAATAGAAAAAAAACTGTTTCCACTTCCATCTAAAAGCGGTTTTTAAGGATTTGTCAAACACATAGAGCCTGTTTGACATTGATGTTGGGATGCCAAAACACTTATTTTGAGAAAAAATAATAATTTTATTGAAAAATTAAGTGTTTGACAAATCAGTAAAAGCGTTTTAAATGGAAGAAGAAGCAACTAGTTTGCGGTTGAGAAGAAGCTAAAAATTTCTCCTTTTAAAAAAAAGCAGAAACAGAAACAAAACAAAAAAATATTTTTCTCAAGACTAAAATATCATTTTTCATATATACATAATTACATATTACCAATATATTTCTTATTAATAAATTAGTATATTTCATAAGTTTGGTTAAATTTCATTTAAGAATTTTATTTTTTATTTTATATAATAAATATTATAATTTATTTTTCGTTTATATATTATTATTTTATATATTATATATTATTTTACGTATTATTTTGTAGAATTAGATTAAAGGTAACATCAATATTTTTTCAAGATTAGAAAAGAAGAAAAAAATAACAATTAGATATTTCAGCCACCCAAAAAAGGTATAATATTGATTGAAAATTTAATGATGTAAATTTTAATTTGAAAATAATTTAAAAGTTAATTAATTTAGATATTTAAAATAGTTTCTCTCTATAAAATAATTTTAATATTAGAAGTACATTAATAGTTGTCCTTTTTTGTAATTTGACTCTTAAAAACACTTTTTGAAAAACATTAGCCAAACACAATTTGCTTATGAAAAATATTTTTCAAATGAATTAGCCAAACAAAATTGTTTTTTTTTTTTTCAAAATCACTTTTCTAAAAAGCCATTTTAAAAGAGTGCTTCTTAAAATAAGTTGTTTTATCAGTAATACCAAACATGCTCTTAATTTTTCAAAAAAAAATATTTTTTTCTTAAAAAAAACACTTCTGACCTCCCAACAACAATGCCAAACAAGCTGTTAGACAGAAATAAGCTAATGTTTGCGTCTTTCATGATGATCCGATTAGTATACATGGATAAGTTGTCACAATTCGAATTATAATTAGACTTACTACTTTACTGTCGGAATCACTATACTTTCAAGTTATAATATATTATAATTAATCATCTGAATAAATGATAAAATATTTTTATTAATTTTGTTGTGTATGATTAAAATAAGAACACATATATTAAGTGATTAATTTATTTATATAATGAGTTTTTGTGAACACGTGAATCGTTTTTTCTAAAACATAAATTTAAAATATCTAAAAAAGTACTTTATCATAATTAATTTGAGACAAAATGAGTCATAATACTTGAAATTCAATAATATATTTAAAATATATTTATTATTAAGAAACAAAGAAAATAAAATACATACAAATTTTATTTTTATCTTTACCGGATAAAAAAATTTGTTGCCAATAACCCTTCTCCTAAAAACAAAAGTTATGCCAAGCAAAATCTACACGAAAATATGACGATAATAAAAAATATAAAGCAAAAATCAACCGTTGAAAATTAGGTAACTGCGGATTACTAACTCTACTTTTAATTAACGCGCAAAAATAAACCGTTGAAAATTAAGCAACTACAGAATACTAACGCTACTTCTAAATTTAGGTAACTGCGGATTAGTAATCGATGTTGACTACTCAATGCTTCTTCATTGCTATTTGCCTTAGAGTTTGAGACTTTCAAGACTCTGTCAAGTATGTGTATCATAATTTATCTATCTATCTAGTCAGTTTTATTCGTTTGATTGTATCTGCTGTGTTTTTGTCCAGTTCAAAAATTGTGACTGAAAAATGGGGAAAAAGCAAATAATGTTGCCGGCGATTGAAGTAGACCTTACTGCAGTCAAATATATGCCAGAAAAAATTGAAGGTTTTGTGTTTCATCTTTTTCACTATGATGACATCGGTAGTATCATTTTTTCGCCCTGAGTTTTTTTTTTTTTAATTGATTTGCAGCTCCACATTTGACGGGGTTTTGGTTCAAGTTGTTTGTTAAAGTAATGGAGGCACCTGTAATTGGTTCTTTAATTGCTAGTCATCTGAAGGAGAAGAATGGGATTACTGAGGTTTGTTTACTTGCAATTTTTTGTATCTTGATGCATAAAAAGGAGATCAAGAAATTAAAGAACGGTTGTGTTTTTATTGTCAGATTCTGAAGAATACTGTGATACCAGAGGTTCCCATGTTCATTCCCCAGTTTCCTCTTCAAGGTTCTCTATTAAGCTCTTGCTGATTATCTTTCACTATTTTATTGATATTTTGTGTGTTTAAGTGATACCAGTTAGTTGGGATTAAGTTTTAATCATGTTTGTACATTTGCTTTAAGTCGGTCTAATGTTTTCTAGTGAAACTAGTTTCTAATATTAGATTGGGACGGGATTAAATTAGTGCGACATAACTGATTCCGACTTGCTTGGGATTGAGTCATACTTGTTATTGTGTTGTATACTGTATGTATAGTGTACATCGATTTTTCATCATGGAGTAGGAAAATACATATTCCTTTTAAATATGTCATTCCACTGAGGTGGTGCTGCTTAACCATCTTATTGTACTCCTTGTTATCTCTTTTCCCCCCTATTAGTTGGTGATAAAATAATACTCAGCTGATTTTCGGACATATAACTGGAAAGAAGAATAATATTTCCATGATTTTGTTGAAGTTAGAATTCAGGAATTAAGGTGCTTTTTCTAATGGTACTGACTTGTTTAGTATGTATATGTATTAGAGCCAGAGCCTGGTGTTGTTTGCTTAGAAGAAGATGGAAAACCTGAAGAACGGGTTGCTTTAGCATTGAAGTGTCTTCCACATTATGATCCTACTTGCAGATGGAGTTCTGATTCAGGAGAACCATTCCAATTCCGCTATTGGAAAATTCGTGATTATGGATATGCTTACAGATCTAAGCTTACGACCCCATCTATGGCAAGTGACTTTTCATTCATTGTTTTATTTCGGTCATCTTCAAGACTAATAAACCTCTGTAATGCTAAAGGTTGCAGAACACTTTATCTCAGCAATGGAGGTATTTAATAGTAAGCAGCAATCAGCACCACTATTAATCTCATTTGACCCCGAGGAAGTGAGAAGGCAAGCGGCAGCTTCCACTCAAAGATTTGAGGAAGGTATTTTTATTTGTTGATGTGCATAAAGTTGGATCTTGTAAGAACCTACATATCCAATTCACAATTTGTCTTTTTTTCTCTCTAAGTTTACAGCACACGGCATCAAATATATGATATTCGCTTCCTGCAAATAAAGCTTATCTCAAATTACTGTGCCAAGTCTGCTGATTTTGTTACTAAACCGTATTCCCTTTCATTTTTTTTTTCTTTAATGATGTGGTCATGGAGGAAACCCATTGTCAATCTTGGATGGGATTTTCATTGCAGTCAAGGATGACATTGATTGCTATCCTCATCCTTCAAAGGGTATTTGTTTAACTTCATATTTCCTCTGTAAATATCTTTGCCATTTTTAGCTGAACATCTTTCCCCGTAAAAAAGTGCAGGTGGTTCTAAATGGTTTCACGAGGTTCGCCAGGTAAAGGCAGATGGGGTTTCTGTGTCAAGATTACGAAACAGTGGTGCAATTTTAGTAGGAAAGACAAATATGCATGAGTTTGGTATGGGCACAACAGGAAATAATCCAAATTACGGGTAAACTTGTTTCCTTGAACCTACAAATTGTTGAAAAAATGATTTCCAACACAAATAGCAAACATGACTATTTTTTTTTTTAAAGATATATGCTAAATATTGGCTTTGTGAATGTTGAAGAAGGATTTCAGTCTTTCACATTTAACAGGAGTATGCTAAAGACGTCCCTCAAAAGAACACTTTTTTTGATTTCTCTATCTTCCTTTCTGTTTCAATTTTGATCTTTCCGTGACTGAGTGTTGGATGTTCTGTAGCAGTCATTTATGGCTCAACCTTTGCCAACATAGCATAAGGTTCACCAGAGTGGTTTATTCCTAGTTCATTCTTCTTGATCAAGAGAGGTTGTCGGGTGGTGTTTTTTTGGCTGTTATGTGATCATTGCCACATTTTGACTCATTTAACTGCAGAATAGTAATACTTTTGTTTCCCTACATCTCTTTTGAATGATGATTCTTTACCTAAGTTACATATTTCAACATGTCTAATAAAAAATGTTGTCCAGTCCAGTTATTACCTCTTTGTAGTCTTTTTCCTTTGGTTGAGTGACTGAGAGTTTTGCTTGAGTTATATTTGATAAGCCACTCATACAGACCGCTTTAGATATCTTTCCCTTGTTCTCGGAATATAATTTTTTGAAGTGTATCTGGGAACTATTGTTTCTTGGGTAACTTTAGGTTGAGTGTATATTTTACCTTTCACAGCAGTAATGAGCCTTTTCCTATGGCAGTACACCTGGAAATCCGCATAATCCAAAAAGGTACACAGGTGGTTCTTCCTCAGGTTCAGCTGCAATTGTTGCTTCTGGATTGTGCTCAGCAGCATTGGGAACAGATGGTGGAGGTTGTATGACATATTGGGCGTAGTGAATTAGTAATTTGTTTTAAAATGGTTATAGATTTTCAAGATTCATTCATTTGAAGTCCAGGTTCAGTACGAATTCCTGCTTCTCTTTGCGGGGTTGTGGGCTTGAAAACAACATTTGGACGGACTGACCTGACAGGGTAAGTTCATGAATGGCAGGTCAATGTGCATCTATACCTTATGGCTTATGAATTATATTGTTCCCTTCAGGAAAACTTTCTGTCTGCTGTCAAAGCTATGATCTTCTGCCTCATACAACTTGCCTCCCTCGTACTCCAGCCTAAAAATTGTTCTTTTCTTTAGTTATCCCTATTTTCTGGATTCTTAAATTCTCTATGTTAACATGTATTCTTCAATATCTGTGAAGGGCATTTTTCATTTCGCTTGTGGATAAGTGAAACAATCATTATAAACCTAAAACTCTGTGTAAGGCATGAAATCAAGTATATTTTTTCTAGGCCATAGTTAAACTCAAAAGCATTATTTCCCAGGCACTTCATGGTATGAGAAATAAGGTAGCTTTGTAGAGAAGTGATGCCTTTACTGCAGTAGTTTATAACTCTATTCTGCACATTGCTTAGAAATGTAATCAAAGAAGAGCCCTATACGCTTTCTACACACACTACTTACATAATCCATACCGTGATACGACAGCAAAGGAGACACCGAGTACATGCACTACTTACATCTTGCAGATTCATAAATAATTCAGGATTAAGGTATCGGTGAGAAAAAGAAAGGTTTTTGGTTTTCTGTTCTTTCATTACAGAATCCAAAGACAAGAAAATGCCAATGAACTTCATGTCCCGTGAATGCTGTTTGAGTGCGCACAGAAGCAAGCTAATTTGTTCTTACAAATTTTGGTCAGATGACTTTTTTTTGTATGCATGAACATGGAGAGTGATGTTTCATCTAGTCATGTCCAAGAAGCTAGATGCTAAAAAATAATAATATTAAATTCATTTTATGTTGTGATATGTTTCATTTTGGCCATTGTCAATGATATTAGAATGAACTCCCATACACTTGCAGAATTTGAAAATCGAAAAAAGTGGCCCATATTTGAAATTTGATCAGAAGTACGTGATAATAATTAGGTTATTTAACTCTATCAGGCATATTTTATAAACATTTCAATGATTGTGATTGCATGTTGCAAGGGTAGATATGTGTATAATTTTGTCCATCTCTGTTCTTTTCTCAGGTCACTGTGGGAAGCAGGAACTGTCACAATTATTGGACCCATCACAGCTACAGTTGAGGATGCCATACTCGTGTTAGTAATTGGGTTTAACTGCCAATTTCCTTACAAACAAATAGTCAATTCTGATCATGAAAATCTCTGATATCACCTTACTGTGTACAGTCAAACCATGGATTTTTTTTATTTACCTCTTTGACTTGATTACATATGCACCTAGAATTATTTTGGTGTTGCACTGTTTGCACTCTGCATCAATTTCATTTACCTTTATGTGAGCTAAAACAATGGTGAAGAAGATACAACAAGAACAACATTTGCAGTACAGTCCCACAAATGGGGTCCGGGGAGGCTGGGGAGTACGCAGACCTTGTAAAGATAGATCAATTAGGTTGTATATATTTTTGTAAAAATAGGTTGTATGTTTGGGGATCTTTTTGTTAAATTTGGTCCCAGCTATCTTGATCATGGTGATAACCACTCTTATGGTTGATATGTGTTGATTATGGCTATTTCCTACAACTTTTCAGGTATGCAGCAATCTCGGGATCCTCTCCAGCTGATCGAATTCGGCTGAATCCTGTAATCACTCACAAAGTGTACTTTTGCAAAATTTCAAGATATTTTTCTGCTTGAGGGTTCAGTTTTAGCCTTTTTTTTCCCTTCATTCGTGTAAATACTTTAGTTAATATTAGTAAATAGAGTATCAGATCATTTTTCAACGTCGAGTTTGACCATCTGTGATACTGAAGTATGTTGGTTACCATAATAACTCAGTTTGGGGTATTTTTCTTCAGAGATCTGTTCTGATCCTGGTTCAGTTTGGGGGATGTTTCTTCCGCTGAATGTCCCATTGTTCCTGTTTTTATACATTCTGCAGTATTCACTCTACTTATATCATGTAAGATTATAGAAGACTATATTAGTTAAATTGCTGAAAAAAATTGTGACATTTCCCTATCCATTATAACCTTGTTGTTTTAGGTCCCCCAAATGGATTTGACATATCTAAACAAGACCAATCTTAAGCATAGGATTAAGTTGATCCTATACTTGTACCGGAGACTGTTGAAGTCGGTTCAATGCCAAATGAGTTATTTTCATTGGATTAAAAAGTTGTACTCTGCATTAAGCATGCTGTTTTCTACTCACATTATTATTGATTGATTTTTCATTTTGCAGTCCATCCCTTGTTTACCAGATTTATCTTCCAGTGAGAGTTCAAGTATCTTGGGATCACTTACCTTGGGAAAGTATACAAAGGTGTTGCACTTCTGTTCTCTTAAGGTTGTTGGTGATTTTAACCTTCTTGGTTGAGCTTTGGCTGATATGAGACATGTTTTACAGTGGTTTAACGATGTTAGCTCGACCGACATATCTGATAAGTGTGAAGATGTCCTAAACCAACTATTTCGTCTGTATGGGTGCAAAGTAAGTCCATAGTACTCTTAATTACGTATGTGATCAATTCTGTCAGACTCATTCTTCTTACATCAAGATTATTGTCTATTTCAGAAGACTTTATGTTTAAAGTTCAGGTTCACTTTTCTGGATTTAATTTTGTTTATTCTATTTTTCTTGCTTAACTCTTTGCAATCAAGACAACAGAGATTGTCATACCGGAGCTTCGTGAGCTGCGCACAGCCCATACTGTTACTTTTGGATCTGAATCACTGTGCTTACTGAATCCTGATTGCGAGGCTGGGTATATTTATTTTCCATCATGCTATTTGTACGACTGCTTGGTATGTTGTTGTTTGGACTAATATAGAATTTCTTTCATTTTATGTAGGAAAGGAGTTAGATTGACTAATGATACTCGCACAAATCTGGCACTTTTCAGATCATTTGCAGCATCTGACTATATATCTGCCCAGTGCCTTAGGTAAAGAATTAGTTAGTGAATACTTTCATACATGTTGAAACAATTTGTTCAACTATTGTTTGTTAAAGTATCAAATTAGGGATGCGAAAGCTGCCGCAAGTGTATTGTGGATCATTGGCATTTTAACATTTGGTTCGACATTTAGTAGGCATTCCTAGCTTTAACCACATCAGCGATTTTAGGTTTACTTACTTCACTATAAGCTCATTATGTGTAAAATCTTAGAAAGTTACCTGATATTAAATTTTCAATTGGAGGAAAGATATGCTCATAGCTTGTGCACGGAAACAAATTTTAAACTCCAATAGAAGAGCATGTCAGAATCCATGTTCTTGCCATTAATTTCATGGTCTCTTTACTCCATAGTTACTGTGCGTCTCTGAAGTGTCATTTAATGGTTCTTTTTGTCTATGTTTTGGAAAAATGTCAAGTGCCAAATGTACTACTATGTTTTATCTAAATGTTAAAAGATTTCAGTCTTGCTATGGAATTGCATTTAGAAATATGATGAAGTCTATTCAATTTATTTCAGCTTTCCTGTGTCTCTTATTGCAGGCGAAGGATAATGTACTACCACATGGAGATTTTCAAGAAAGTAGATGTCATTGTAACACCTACCACTGGGTAAACTAATTTCTGTTAACTATTTTCCTTATCTTTTAGTTGATGGAAGTTTCAGGAAGTTGGTTTCAGAAATAGTTATGTCAAAGAGAGTAGAATTTTCTGACGTCCTCTTGCGATATTTGACATAAGATTGTACTTCAATGGAAGTCAAAATTTTAGATGATTGGTGCAAAATAGGAACTACATGTTTCTTTTTACTTCACGTGGATAATGGTTAATCAGTGAATGACTCAATAAGAGTATTAAGGATTAGGATATTTCTCATGTCTTTGAAGTTATACCCCATAATTTAGCTTGACGATTGAAGTCACATTTGTCTGATGTTATGATCCACAGAGGATTTCCATTGAATACCTCACTCACGAAGTTTACACATCAAATGGAAATGTATATGTTCATATAGAATGACGTATACTAAGGCTTTTCTACCATATCACAGAATTTTAATTTTTTCCCAAGTAAATTACATCTTCCTTTTTTTTCCAACTGAAGTAGATGGACCAATGGTTTTTGTATGTTGTCATTTATTTCAATCTGTTTGTGGACCCACAGACACTTAAATCCATAAATTTCTATTTTTACTTTTTTTTTCCAGAATGACAGCCCCAGAAATTCCAGAAAGTGCTCTTGCAGTTGGAGAGACAAATTTGCAAGTTGTAGGTAGGTTAACATCTGTTTCTATTCTTTTCTAAAAATTATCATTTACAAATAAAAAAACATCATTTTATTACTTTGTAGTAGTCATTAGTAGTCCTTGGATATATTAAGTATGAGAATGCTATGCTATTTCACGAGATATCTTATGAATAAAATATTTGATGTTTGACTGGTTGGTAGATTCAGAAATTTGATTTTTGCATGCATTGAAGACAGATTGTACTTTGATAATTAAAGTCCCGAAGCGTTCTATCTCAAAATATTATCAATTCTACAACAGTTCTTTTTGTTGTTATGATGAGCACTTCATGATGATCAACTCTATTTAGACTACTTATTTCATCATTTGCTATTCTTTTCAGCAAGCCTAATGCAATTTGCTATGACAGCAAATGTTCTTGGACTTCCGGCAATTTCTGTCCCTGTAAGTGATATTCATTTTTTTCCTCTTAGGCAGTTATCTGAGAGTAAATCGCATAAAAGGATATGGAATAGAAGGATAAGAACCTGCATGTTGATAATATACAAACAATGCTCCTATTCTAAGCATTTCAAGGACCTGCTCACCTTCTTTCCAATTAATATTGACACACAGCAGTAAAAATGAATGACTGAACGCTCTCTCTCTTCACAACTTTCTCCATTTGTATTTGCACAATCTCTGTTCCCTTTAAAACTAAGATGTCTCTTTGATTGATGGCTACCACCGTAGGATTCAAAATTATTCTAAAACTCGTGGATGTCAAATATCAATCAACATCATGTGTTTAAAATTTATTATTGTTATACTTTTCTTTTCTTTTCATGCTTAGATTGGTCATGATAAGCAAGGACTTCCAATAGGCTTGCAACTTATTGGTCGTCCGTGGTGTGAAGCTTCAATCTTGCGTTTAGCTGCTGCAATAGAGGTATTCTCCTCCCCCCCCTACCACCACCCGTTCCCAACTAACAAAGTTACAAACTGCTAAAATGTTCAAACAAGTATTGATAGGAGATTTGACTTGTGCTTTCAGGAAATCTCTGCAGAGTATAGGAAGAAGCCAGTGGAGTTCTATGACATCTTGAAAGGGAAGTCTAATTTTAACAGTTTCCATGACTGACTACACTGAAAGAAAGTGAGCAATTGACAGGAATAAGTTTTAAGGCAAAACAAGATTTTATTACAAAAATAACTTAAGAGAACGAATGGAACAAGAGCTGAAGAATACTCTTGACATAATTTTTTTTTTGATGGTTTGTGTAGGAAAAATTGATTCCACTTCTTGAATAGCCACTGATTGGCACATTTATTTCCACTTGATAATCATTAATTGGCCATTACTGCTAAATCAGATATTAAGTGAGAAACCAAGACAAAAAATATATATATATATATTTCTTTTTCTCATTTTCTTCAGTGCTGGGTTTTTGTTTTTAGTTTACAAGAAAAGAGTTTGTTGGATTTCGGAATTTATCTTATACTCCCTCCGATACTAAAAATAGATGTCCAATAATATTTGTTCACTTTATGAAATTCATGGATAATTTTACACTTAGTAGCTAATTTATCCTTACCATTAATTATAGTCATTTCCCTTTATTATATTCAAAGGGTGATATAGTAAAATTACCCTTTATTTATAGTTTCTTAAGGGGTATGTCAAGTCAATAGTGGACAATTATTGTTGGACAAAGAGAGTAACTGAAATGTGAATATATAGATGTCTCAAGTTTTCGAAAATGTACAATCACTTTCCTATTTCTTCTTTGGACTCTGTCTCTCTTTGACTTCCTTCTTAATTTTGTCTCTCTTAGCATACATGCATATCCATATAAGAACCCTCATCTTTGCTAGCTTCGACTTTTGAATGTGTGTACTCTTGACATTTGACAAGCCAACACTCTTGTTCCGTACAACAAATAACATAGAAAAATAATAATAACAAATTTGATTAGAAATCACAACTGAATTTATTTTTTTTAAAAACTAACAGTAATGCCAAAATATTAATAAAAAAGAAATACAAAAATTAAACGTTACAGCGCAGACTAATTTTTTTTGTTTGTTTTTCTTCTCACCTTATTTAATTGATTTCTCCTTCAAAATCCAACAGCTTTTTATTGCTAACAGTAAATCCAGTTGAAAAGTTATATTCCTAAATACCACAATTAAACAAAAAGAAACAAATAACACAAAAACCGAATTGTAAATTTGAACAAAATTTACTCAATAATGATAAATTCATTTGAATAGATCGAATACTGAAACATACTTTAAAATGTTAGCGTGTTTGTGGTTATGTTTTTTAAACTGATTCTATAATTTATTTGATAAAATTTAGTTTTATTTTGCAACCGAGTATATTAATATGTTTTATTGAATATTTTTTGTTTTTTATTTGAAGATTATGAATTTTAACTAGTTTAGTGTTAGTTTGCCAAAATAGCCTTAGACCATCTCCAACCCACCTCTATTTTACTCTCAATTCTCTATATTTGGAGAGTAAAATAGAGAATGGGATCTCCAACCATTCTCTAAATGATTCTCTATTCTTCAAATTTAGAGAGGTGAATAGTAGTTCTTCAAACTGTTCACACTCTCTATTTCACTTTTTCAATATTTTATTATTATTTCTATTATTTTCTAATTAACATATTATTTTACATATAATGTCATTAATTAAATATCTAATATTCATAATTCTTCTTAAATATAATATAATATTTTTAAAAATATATTATTTAATATATGCTACTCTAGTCTCGAATTAATAGTATTTTAATTTTTTCTAATTTTCGTCAATAATAGATTTGATTTTATTATTAATTTTCACTATAAGAATACACAAAATTAAAATGAAAAGATGAAAATTTTAATTTTGATAATTGAGGACAAAAATGCTCATTTTGAACGTTGTAATGCTTACTAGAGCATTTATGGGAGCAACATAATAATTTTAAAAATTGAGTGTTTATGTAATATTTATGTAATTGTATTTCACTTTTATTTGAATTTGTCCTTGTATATTATATTATATTTTCTTGCAATTTATGTTATTTAAAAATTTAGAATAAAATATATTTATATATTAAATAAAGAATTTGAATTTTTTTTATATCACATGAAAAATATATAAAGTAATTATTTGAGAAAAAGAAATAAATGATTTATATTATGAAATAAGAAAATAAGAATGAATTAAAAATAATAATATAATTTTGAGGAGAGAGAAAAAAATTCTTTTTTAGAGAGTAAAATAGAGAATTTGATTGAAGTTGGTTGTCTGAAAAAAATAAAAAAATTTATATATTTAGAGAGTAAAATAAAGTATAGGGTTGGAGATCCCTTAAACAATCAGTTTTGTAGTATGTGAATAAAATTAAAAAGTACTATAATTATTTTAAAATCGAAATAAAAAAAAATAAGCCCTCCCCCCCAAAAAAAAAAAAAAACTATATCATTCTCAGTTGTCCTCATTACGCGTCAAGACATCACTCAAGAAATCGCGTCAAGAAACCATTCAAGAAATCATAAATGAGAAGGAAACTAACAAATTCAATCTTAATTTTATAAATTGTTAACAACAGTCCAACTTTCGCTTACTAACTGCCGGCGGCCGGAGACTGGACTTTACATTAATGGCAATTGGGAAAAAAGACAAGGCAATACGCATGCCGGCGGGAACATGACACCATTCCGTTACTTCGCGACCCCCTGATTTCATGCTATCTTACGCCACTCCCCAACAACCTCGCTTTCAGAAGAAGAATTAATGGCAGTCTTCCTTAGCATTCACTCGCTTTATAAAAAGGCCTTTATTCAATGCGAAGACCTTTAACTTTCAGATTTCGAATTTTGGAGTATGTATTTTGTTCATCTCTTTTAATTCTTATTCTCTGTCTCAATTTATGCGGTAATGTTGAAATTTGGGAAATAGAACTTCAAAAACTTTTGAAGTAATATTTATGCATTTGAAAACAACAATCATACGATTAACAACATAAAATATTTAATAAAAGACATATATATAAAGAAATTCTGATAAAAAAAAATTGGTTTACTTTTGAAATTTCAACTGTGACACATACATTGAGACAAAGAGAGTAGTAATTAACCAATAGATGATATGAATGGTTTGCCTATGTTATTTGTTAGAGATGGGGAAGAAGAGAGTGATGTTGCCAGCGAGTGAAGTTGACATGACGACTTCACTCAAAGAATTCAAGGTCTTCGCTATCATTCAAAGTTCATTGTAAGACAAGAGGATAGGGAGTAGTTATTATAAATCTCTGTATTGTTAACCAAGTTATATAGTTACTGGTAGTTTCAAAAAATTTACTGTGAATTTGATCCTATGGACTTGCAGCTCCATATCTGACTGGATTTTGGTTAAAACTATTTGTAATGTTGGCTGAAACACCAATTATTGGTTCAATGATCATGATTTTCTTGCAGAAAATGAACCGAGGAGCCGACGTCTGATTCTTAATGCATCCAGTCTCTGTTGTTCTTTATGTTGTATATTCTATGATAACTAAAAGGTCAAATGTTCATGATTGGTAGAGGTTCAAGAATACCGTGATACCGGAGGCTCCCATGTTTGTACCTGAATTTCCTCCTCAAGGTTTGTTGCGATGTCATTCTTTCTTCAGTATTTATCTTGATTTTTTGCATGCTCAGCTATCCTTGGTTTACTGATAGACCATTATAATGAAAAGGAACTGCTTGTTTAAATAGACTTATCTTTTGTTCTATACCAATAGCCAAAAAAAAGAAAAAAGAAAAAAGGATAGGCTTACTTTACTTTTGTTTCAACCTTTTCTCTCTTTCATTTTAAAAGATCTCTATTTGGAAGAGGGGTGGAACGGAGGTGGGTTTGACAATATGTGAGTGGTAGGCGTTTATTTCTGGAGGAATAAAGGAGATGACAGGCAAATGCATACAACAGGGACGAAAGTTAAGAAATTTCTTATGATAAAGCTGTTAAAGAAGCAGTTAGCACTGCATAGTATAATCTATTTATATCTTTCCAGTAATTAGTTATAGTCAGTTAGATCAGTTTGTTATTCTAGTTATTAAGTGAGCTAATCTCATGTCAAGATCATCTATATAAATTGGCTAACAGCCTTATGTAATACTCCTCCGTCTCAATTTATGTGATACCGTTTGACTTGTCACAAAGTTTAAGAAAGAAAAGAAGACTTTTGAAATTTATGGTCGAAAACACTCTTTGACCATTTGTGTGGCTATAAGGTCAAAAGGTGCATTATAAAGTTAAATTGTTTCTAAATATAGAAAGGTGTCTCCTTGACCATTTCTCAGAACTGTTTCCTTTTGAATTGTGGATTTAATTATTGTTATGTACGTGAATTCTGACAATTATATATAGCAATTTAACTTTCCACTCTGTTTAGGAGATGTTTTTTCATTATAAACGGCAGTATGGGTGGTGGATTTGTTTAATTAACAGGACAACCAGGAATCCACATGCTCCAGATAGGTACACAGGCGGCTCTTCCTCAGGCTCTGCAGCTATTGTAGCTTCTGGACTGTGTTCTGCTGCACTGGGAACAGATGGAGGAGGTTGTCGATGATACCAATTACCATGTAACTCTGAATCATCTTATGAAATCTTTGTATGTCATGTTTGCTAAAGTTTATGCTTTACAGGTTCAGTTCGGATTCCTTCTTCCCTTTGTGGTGTGGTGGGCTTGAAGACAACATATGGAAGGACTGACATGAAAGGGTGATAAATCTTTTCAGACTCGGTTAGACATCAAGCAGATAACAGCATCTCCCAAACACATGAAGTATATCATAACGACATACCTGTAATGGGCATATTGGTCTCTCCAACTGTAAGAGCAGTTGGTGATATTATGGGCGCCGTCATGCTGAAGAATTGGGAAAACAATTGTTAGCTAAAGATGGTTTCACAGATATTCATATTCCAGCAGAAGAAAATAATTTTCTTCGGCATTGCATAATTATCCATAGACTTCGAGAGCAGCTCTATGTTTAACCATGATAATCCATATTTCTATTATATAGAAACCTCATAAGAGGACGACCACTGGCAATATCATAATTATACTCATTTTCAAGGGTAAAATGTAATACAGCTGTTTTTTTAAGCAAATTAGAAGCACT